CCCCCTCTAGTTAAGTGTTGGATGGACTATGGGGGCCTCATTTCATTCCAGTTCTGAATTTGAGGTACTCGAATGGCCTGCTTCACCCTGGACTGTGACAGATGGTGACCGGGGATGGAAAAGAGGGGAAGGATGCAAGAAATATCATGGAGATGAAATTGATAGAGCCTGATAGCTCTCTTATGCAAAACTGATTGGATCAGAGGCAAGGTTATAGAGCTGGGAGACTGGTTGAGTGATGGCACCACAGACAGAACTGTCCAGTTCAAAGCAGGGGCAGGTTAAGGAGAAGCTGGAGGGGGCTTACAAAGAGCATGGCACGTGGGATCAGAAGTCCAGGGCTTGAGCCTCTAGAATGTCATCTGTCTCAGCTCCTATCAGAGCAGGATTCACCTTCTCCAAAATTGCCAGGGAGGGCTCATCCACCTTCTACCCTGAAGCCCCCAAGGAAGGGGAATTCATTGTCTCCTGAGATGAAGCAGGAAAGTGTGAGTGTTTCAATTCTGGGATCACAGACTTGTAGGAGACCTCATAAGTCATCTGTCTTACCAGTATCTGAAATAGAAATCAAGTGAGCAAGCCTTTATTGAATGCCAGGCACCGTGCTAAGCATGGCATCTACATATCCCTGACAAGTGGTTTTCTGTCTTCTACACAAAGACCTAAAGGGACAGGGAACTCATTACCTTCCAAGGCAGCTCTCTTGGAATGAAGTTTTTAGGAATTGGAGCCCTCAGGATCCCAAACTATTTGAACAGTCCAAGATAAGGGACCAGATACTGAGAGTTGGAAGGGACCTCAGATTGGGTCGTTAGTTTGATAGAGATTTGAACCCAGGTCCTATCACTCCATCACTAATGGGGATAAATGTAAAGGCCTAAGCTTAGGTTCAAACAATCAACTGTACAAGTACAGAAAGGAGAAAATGTGACTGGAGAAGAGCGTCAGGGATTTGCAGCTTAAGTGGACTGCAAACAGTGCAAGTCAACATTGTGATGTAAGGCCAAAAACCACTAATGGAGCCTTCAGCGGCCCAAAGGGCACTGTGGCATCCAGGAGGGGAGGGGTCACACTCCTTCCATTCCCGTGCTGCTATCTGAGCATTGTGCTCAGCTCTGGGAGCCACGGTTTAGGAAGGACATGGATAAAGTGATGGATATCCTGAGAAGGGTCTCAAGGATGGCAGGTGGGCTGGAGACCAGGTCCTGTGAGGCTGAGGGAACTAGGGGCATTTGGTCTAGAGGAAACTTAGGAGAGACATGGTGACTGTCTCCAAGTATTTGAGTCTGCTGAAGAGGGATTGGGCTGGCTCTGCTGGGCCCCAGAGAGCAGATGTGAAATGTGTGAAATGAAGGGGAAGGGCCTAAGGGAAAGGCTGACCTCAGTTCAGAGGCAGGAGCAACGGAGGGAACTCCAGGCCATCCAGAGGTTTGCAGCCTACCCCCACCATTGACATTCTGGGCCCTTTGTCCAAGGTGCCATCCTGCAGTCTCTTCAGACTCTGACTTCCTAAGTCACTTCCTAACAGATCTTCCTACCTTCTGTCTTTCACTCTCTGGTCCATTGAGCTCAGACCACTCTACTGGTCTCAGCCACAGCCAGTTTGGACCCTGTCTCTCCCTACTCCTTAGGAATCTTTGGTCATTCTCTACCCTCCACCAAGAAAAGTCCCAATCGTTTCCTTGGCACTCAAGAGTTCTGCAGTGTAGCAGGTCCCCCGCTTTCCAGTCTTATTTCTCATTCCTGCTCTGCCTACACTTTTTCTCCCCTCATAAGACGGACAATTCTTGGCAAAATATTGGAAACTGAGGGGATGCTTATCAATTGGGGAATGGCTGAACAAGTTGTGGTATCTGAATGTAATGGAATACTATTGTTCCATAAGAAATGATGAGCAGGTGGATTTCAGAAAAACCTGGAAAGTCTTGTACAAACTGATACAAAGTGAAACGAGCAGAACCAGGAGAACATTGTACACAGTAGCAGCAACATCGTGTGATGATTTTTTTTCCCCTTTTAATTTGTTTTTTTCTTTCACAACTGTGGCTAATATGGAAATGTGTTTTACATAATTGCATATACATAACCCATGTCAAATTGCCTATCATTTTAGAAAGAGGGGAGGGGAGGGAGAGAGAAAATTTGGAACTCAAAATCTTGTAAAAATGAATGCTAAAAATTGTCTTGACATGTAATTGGGAAAAAATAAAATACTATTTAAAAGCAAAATTTAAAAAAAGGAAGATAATGCTATCAAATCAACACATCCTGTGTCTGCCTCTGTGACCTTCCCAGTCCCTGAGTATCTACCTGTTGATATCGTGTCCTGCTTTCAGGTCACAGCTCAATGACATCTCCTCCAAGAAGCCTCTCTGATCACCAGTCACCACCTAGACCCCAGGTTGAAATGATTCCTCCTTCCCGAGACTATACCTAGCATGAGTTTGCTTCTGTTTTGTGCACTTCTGTAAGATGACTTATGGTAGATATCTATTGCTATCAGAGCCCCCCAGTAGGTAGACTAGGAGCTCCACAGAGAGAAGGACTGTATCTTATTTGATTTATCTTTCCCAGGACCAAGGAGAGGGCCTGGCACATACTTGGTGTTTAATGTTTGTTGAAAAGTAGGTGCCTGTTGGTTGGGAAAGGGTACAAGTCTTGGTACACAAATTTAACAAACATTATCATGCTATAAAAATGGATTTGAAGAAACAGAGGAAGATTTAGATTTACTGATGCATAGTGACTTTAATAGAAATGGAATAACAACCACCACCAAATCAAAAAGGAATGTCCGAGCTTGTCATGGAAGAGATCTGGGAAGATGCTCCTCTCCCTTCTGTGCACAGGTGAGGGACTAGAAGGAGAACACTGCAAATCCTGCTGGACTTAACCAACGGGTTGGATGATTTTGCTGCTTTCCTCCTCCTCTTCTTTCTTTTTAATTCTTTGTCATATGGGCTGGCTCTCTGTGTGAGTGCAGGAGGGATATATTAGGAAATGAAGGGACTGTAAAAAAGATTGATAAAATTTTAAAAAGAAAAATTAAATTCAGAATCGCAGAATTTGTGAATTGGAAGGAACCTTGGTGGATGGATTTGGAGTCAGTGGACCCAGGTCCAAATCTCACCCCTTCCATTTACTGGTTGTATGACCTTAGATAAGTCATTTAACCTGTAAGGGGCTGTCTTCTCCTTTGTAAAAGGAGGCACTTGGATTCTATGGCTTCTAAGATCTCTCCCAGCTCTAAATCGATGGTCCATCTGGCCAAATCTGTGCATCAAAGGAATTCCCATCATAACCCTCCTGATGACCAGTTGTCCAGCCTTTTTGAAGACCACCGAGAAAGGAGAGCCCAGAAGCCCCCGAGGCAGCCCCTTCCCTTTTGGACAGGTCTCATTGGGAGCAAACTTTTCCCGATGTCAACCCTGAATTGATATATGAAGCAGTTTTGAGAAAAAGACGGTGTGCTGATTGTCCACAGATATCCATCTGTATGGGAACAGGAGAGTGCAGCATGGGCAACTGGAGACTCAAGAGCTGTGGGTTTGAATTCTGCCTCTTCTTCCTAGATGTGTGACCTAGGCAGGTCACTTCCTTTCCCTAAGCCTCATTTTCCTCATTTGTAAAATGGGGAGGCATTTGCATACCTGATGCAGTCTAGTGACGCTCTCCCTTTTCTCCAAGGAATGGGGATGACTGCGTGGGTGATGACATATAGACTGAGTGATGAATCTGGAATGGAATGGCCTGGAATGGCCCCCCTATCAATCAACCCTCAAGACCTTGCTCAAATCCCCCCTTCTTCAGGTGGCCTCCCCAGTCCCCCCAGCTGCTATTGCCATCCCCTCTCAGATCGCCATCCCCCTACTTATTTACATGTCATCTCACCCATTGGAATAGGAGCACCCTGAGGGCAGGGGCTGTTCTAGCTAGCTACTTTGTATCTCCAGTGTCTAGCTAGCTCAGTGTCTGGCACACAGCAGGCTTAATAAATGCTGGTTGACTGACTTGTCCCAACCTGCCCCGGCAGCCTCATCTAGTTTCTTCGCTACAGGCATAGTCATAGCACGGGCTGGCTTCTTTACTTGCTTCAGAGTATAAAACCCTCTATGTCCCTGCGTTCAGGAGCTGCAGGGTTGGCAGAGCTGGCCAGATTCAGGGCAGGGTCAGGGAGAGGGGGGGTGAGTGGGAAAGGGAGGGGAGACCCTAACCTCCTAACCTGTGCTGAGAAGTGTCCCAAATCAGAACCATGGACAGAGACCCAGGGGACCACTGGCCTTGCTGTACCCTGGAGAAGGTTATATTCAGTGTGGTCTGAGCTGGGTCGCTTTCTTAAGTCAGAAATGGGCTATTAACCACGATCTACCCCATAGGGTGGCAGTCAGGGAAACATTTTGTAAACCATTAAGCGACAGCTAAATGTGAGTGTAACTGGAAGCAGCAAAGTTAGGCCTCCCTTTTCTCACTTGCACGGGGTCTCTAACACCCTGTGGCAGCTCAGATAGTCATTCCCTCCTCTTCTCTTCCTCTGCTCTTCACCTTTCTCAGGTCACCGCTCTCTTTGGAAATTGGTCTGGTGAAGCCTTGGAACTCTTTCGCTAAATTTGTTTTGAAATGCACAAAATAAAATACATAGGATTGCAAAGGAAAGCAATTACATTAAAATAAAGATGTATTATTTTTCCTGTACAAGTTCACAGACTCTCTGAAATCTATCCATAGACCTCACATTAAGAACTCCTGGTCTAAAATCGAAAATAGGAATTTCTTGGGAAAAAATGAATTCACCATTCAAGTTTTTTTCTTTCTTTTTTTTTTTGGAGGGGAACAAACGTTTGTTTCTCAGTCATATAAAAAACATCATCATGGGCTACCATGGTCAAAGAGGGCAGCACCAGTGGGTTTTCTGTCCTTAGAGGAGATGACTGGGGGTCATTCAAGCACACTGGCCAAGTGTATTCTGCTGGCCCAGCACTGGAGAAGCCAGCACCACTTCTAGACCCCTGAAGTGGGTCCATCCCCAGAGCAGCCATAACTACTGATCACCAAGCCTACTGATATGTGAGTGCAGGGCATGGCTGATGAAAATACCAGGGTCTTCCTAGAACAGGCTATGTCTTCAGTCGAATGGAGAGGAAGACGTAGAAAGCAGGAGTGTATACGGCCTGTGGATAATGTAACAGGATGGTCTCCCAGAGCACTCATCACGGCCTGCAAGGCTCTCTTCTGCTGCGGAGTTTCTTGTGCATACTTCAGGATCATACAAGGCATCAAATAAGGAGGTGTATGCTCCACTGTTTACCACCGCCATGGGGAGGCCCTGGGCAGAATCCCAGGGTTTCAGGGGCTAATTGGATGCTGCTGGATGGTATAATTAACTGGGATGACACTGGGCCCATTAAATTAAGCCCCAGAATATCATGGGGCCTCCTCAGTGAAACCCCCCAGTGACTGCCACAGTGGCAGGCCTAACGATTTCCACAGGAAAACCCAAAGGGAACCCCAAATGCCTCTAGTTCAGACTGTGCCAGGCAGGTCAACGGGCGGTCCATTGGGCTGGTCCATCAGTACACGGATGGGGTGCAGACGCTGCAGACAGACAATGAGTTGAGCCCAGAACTGAACAGAAGGAAGAGGGTGGGCTGGGTGGCACTTGGGAAATTAGGGTGTGCTCTCAATGAGCTTGGCTGTGACCCTGCCTCAGAGACCCATCTCTTAAACACCATTATTTTTCTGGTGATGCTTGCTTGAATGTCTGTGAGTCTTTGAAGAATCAAAATTGCAGGTATCCCAAAGGATGGAGAGATGGACGACAGGAGGGACGACTGACGGACGAGAAGCGGCAGAGGTCACAGGAGGGGCCCGGTGCAGTGGACGACGGCTGCTTCGGGAGTCAGAGGGCCCGGGTTTGAATCCAGGATCTGCCACTTGCTGCTGGAGTGACCATAGGCCAGTCTTGGCTAGGTCTGTGCCTACAACCCTCCCCTGTTGGTGGGAAGGAGCTGCTGGTGGAGACTTTGAGGACTCAAGGTCCCCTGTACACCATGAAGGAGCGTCAGGGCCTTGGTCGGGGGCTGCCATCACAGACAGGCAGGATGGGGGGCTTGGAGGGGCCTCAGAGATCATCTCATCCAAGTAGCCCCCCAAAGCTAGAGGCCTGTCTCTAACATGTGCCAATATTTGGGGGTCAGTGGTTCATTGCCACAGATGGGAACCCCTCCGCATGCTAGCAGCTAGGGCTTCCTGTGTCGTAAAGTCTGGCCCTCTGACGCTAGGCCTATCTTTGCCAGTGAGGCAAGGCTGGACAGTGAGCCATCGGCTAACGGCAGGATTGGGCAGACTGCCCAGCCAGCTGCAAGTCACAGTGTAGCCACGAGCCTTCTCTTACCCATGAGCCAGGCCCTTACCCATGTCTCTTCTGCATTCTCGAGGGTTTCATCGCAGAGGCTGGAGAGCATGGGGGCGGGGTCTAAGGCCACTACCACCAGGGCTCCTCAGGACCCGGGAGCTGTGGGGCTTCTGTCTACAAAAAATCCTGCTTCTGTTTATCGAATTCAACCAAGCAAACCCTTAAGAATGGGCTGCATGCAAGGCCCTAGGGCTAAACCCTTCCTCAAAGAGCTTTTAGTCCAATGGGGGTGGAGCTTAGGGGCCACACCCAGAGAACAATGGCACTTGGTCTGAGCCAGCAGAATGTAAGCTCCGGCAGGGCAAGGCCACTTCACTTTTGTCTCCATCCCGGTACCCAGGGCAGTGGCTGGCATACAACTGCCCAGTACATGCCTGCTGCTTACTTGGGCTAAGCTTTGCAGAATCCTTTCATCACACTGGCCCTGTGATAGAGGCAGGTCTTCCGGTCACTGGTATCACTTGGCAAGATGCCCGGGGGCACCACGAGGCTGTGGCATGTCCCCGGTGATGATGCCCTCATCAAGCAGGTGGTGGAATGGAGGGGAGCAAAGCCCAGTGCCAATGTTGAGTGACTGACCCTCGGCAAGGCGCTGCACCTGACCGAGCCTCAGTTTACTCATCTGTCAAAGGGGGAGAGTAAGCCAGACCTGGATGAGCTCACGGCTGCGGCTCCACATTCACAAAGTCCCATCTCCATTGCCCAAAATGCGGATTTTTTGCCTTGAATGATATGCAGATTGCACCTCTTTCCTGAGGGGAAAGAAAAGAAGAAAGGTAGAAGGAAGAGGAAAGAAAAGGCAGGTCAGTGACTCCTGGCCCCCTCTAGGGGTCCTCTCTCTGCCTCCCAGGCCATGTGGTGGGCTAGGAGGTGAACTCCAGGGGGAGGGGCCAGCCTCTCCAAGCTCTATCTCGGGTGTGGGATTCTCTCTCTACTCTCTCCCCCAGGGCTCACAAGTGTCCCCGGCAGGCTTTGAACCCAGCCTTGCTGCGACCAGGGCCCGGGTCTCTGCGCTGCCCTACCCTGCATCTCTCACTTGGGGCTCAGCAAAGTTTTGGGAAGCCAGCAGTGAGGTGAGGAGGTCCACTGGGCCAGCCTCAAAGATCTAGACTGGCCTGGAGCCCAGCACCGTGAGGGCGACTGCCAGAAACATCTGCTCGTGACAAAGGCTCATCTTTCAGGCAATGGGGCTTCTGGTGCTCCGTGGACCAGGAGAGGCTGCATTCCAGCTCCCTTTAGCTTCCAGACCTTCTGACACCCTCAGAGGCCCCCTAATCCACACAGCCCTCCCTGATGCAGATGTCCTCTCTACTACGGAGTCTCGGCCTCCACTTGAATAGCTCCAGTGACAGGGAGCTCACTACTCAGGTAACTGTTTTCACTGTTAGAATTGTCAGGAAGCTCTGGTTAAATTGGGCCAAACTTGGCCTTCCTGTCATCTTCCAAGGGCCTTGGTTCTACTCTTTGGGGCCAAAGAAGGCGAAGCTAACCTTTATTCCACACGACATCTCTGTAGATACTAGAAAGTAGCAATCAGCCCTCCTGCTGCAGGTCTTCTTCAGGCTGACCCCTCCCTGCCCCGTCAGTGTAAGGACCACTTGCTAATCAATGACTTTCTTACAAGTGGGGCATCTAGCGGCAAACATGGCATTCCAGAGGCGCCCCGCTGGGGCAGAGGACTGTGGGGCTGTCACCTTCCTGACAGTGGCCTTAGCGCAGCTGCAGATCGCACTGGCACTCATATCACACGCTGTACATTCCTATCGAGCTGGTGGTCCACTAACACCTCCAGATCTCTGTCATATGGCCTGCTGTCCTGTCTCTCCTCCCCATGCCCCACTCGGAGCCTGGAGAGTCAATTAGAACAACCCCCATTTGACACTCTCCCCTTTTCAATGCCGCCTTCTTGGCTCGACGCCCTTGCCTACGGAGGCCTTCTTGGATCCCAGCTCCACCACCCAACACAAATGCTTCTCCTCCTCACTTCAGCAAGAAAACAGGGAGCATTTGAAAAAGAGCTCCATCGAGGTGACTGGCAACCAGGCTACTCCCAACTAAACCGGGGATTTTTTTCTTCTGGGCTTTTACCATTGGAGGCCGGGTGGCAGCACCCTCACTCACCTGGTCTTGCAGAGGGATTCTTCTCCAGAGGGCCCCCCGTGCTGAGACATACCTCCCCTTTTTCACGCCTGGGGCAATGATACAAGGCCGCATGCACCAGAAGGAAGCATGGGGGAACCAGGAGGCTCAGCACCCACAATGTGAGCTCAAGGCCCACGTCACACTTACCAGCTGAGTAACCTTGGGCACGTGACCTTCCCTCGCTGGGCCTCAGTTTCCCCATCCATAAAATGAAGGTTCTGACTTGGTTTTTTCTAAGATACCCTCCTAGCTCCACAGTCTGCTTCTGCTTTGGCTCACGAAGCCCTAATCATCGGCAACCACAGCATGCATCTTTGGACCACAACCCAGGAAGCTGCTCCCGCTCTTGGACAATCCTCAACAATCACATCTCTGCCCATTTCTCACATACTCCCTCACCTCTGGCTTTCTAGGGGAAAACACAGTGGGCTGGACAAGACTCAGAGGCTCTACTTCTGGCCTGGCCAGTACCTAAGTGGCCACAGGCTCAGGATGGCTTCTCAAGGGCCCGAATTTCCCTACGGTAAACTGGGAGATTTCATGGTCTCTACAGAACCTTCAGCACTTTCTGCTTCCTTGGACTGAAGTCTCCACTTGTTAACTTCACTTTGGAGATTTGGTGTTGTGGGAAAAGTGCTGGAGCTGTGGGGAAAAGGGAGGGAAGAAGGAAGGAAGAGAGGGAGGAAGGAAAGAAGGAGGGAGAGAGAAAGGAAGGGAGGGAA